AATGACGTGGATGGAACTGGAGGGTATTATGCTGAGCGAAATAAGTCAAACAGAGAAAGACATGTATCATATGACCTCACTGATATGAGGAATTCTTAATCTCAGGAAACAAACAGGGTTGCTGGAGTGGGGGGTGGGGGGGGAGGGATGGGGTGACTGGGTGATAGACACTGGGGAGGGTATGTGCTCTGGTAAGCGCTGTGAATTGTGCAAGACTGTTGAATCTCAGATCTGTACCTCTGAAACAAATAATGCAATATATGTTAAGAAAGAAAAAAATAAAGAAGAATGTAGCAGGAGGGGAAGAATGAAGGGGGGGAAATCGGAGGGGTAGACGAACCATGAGAGATGATGGACTCTGAAAAACAAACTGAGGGTTCTAGAGGGGAGAGGGGTGGGAGGATGGGTTAGCCTGGTGATGGGTATTGAGGAGGGCACGTTCTGCATGGAGCACTGGGTGTTATGCACAAACAATGAATCATGGAACACTACATCTAAAACTAATGATGTAATGTATGGGGATTAACATAACAATAAAAAAAATTTTTAAAAATGAATTAAGGTAATCCACCCTACCAATAAGCCAGAGAAATTAGGAAATATTTAAAATCGAATGATAATGAAAATGCTACATATCAGAACTATGACACACAACTAAAGCTGTATTTAAAAGCAGATATGTAGTTCTAAATGTATATTTTTAGAAAAGAAGAAAGTTAGAAAAAGAATAGTAAATTATATCCAATAAGAGCAAAAGGAAGGAAGCAATAGAAAATAATAAATAAGAAAAAATAGAATGGAGAGATTTGACAAAACTGATTATTAATTCTTTCAGAAGACCAACAAAATTTGTGAGACTAATAAAGGAAAAAGCATGGCATAAGTAACCAGTAGCTAAAATAAAAATGAGATGTCACTGCAGACCCTGCAGCTCTGATAAAGATAATAGGATATTATAAACAACTTCATACTAATGCATTTGAAAATTTATATGGGGTGGGCAAATTCATTGAAAAATACAACTTACTAAAACTGATACAAGAAGAAATAGGGGGTGCCTGGGTGGCTTAAGCGACTGCCTTCGGCTCAGGTCATGATCCTGGAGTCCCTGGATGAGTTCCGCATCGGGCTCCCTGCTCGGCAGGGAGTCTGCTTCTCCCTCTGACCCTCCCCCTTCTCATGTGCTCTCTCTCATTCTCTCTCCCTCTCAAATAAATAAATAAAATCTTTTTTAAAAAAAAAAAGAAGAAATAGGAAAATTTGAATAGTGCTGTAATTAAGAAATAAATTGAATCTATAATTTAACACTTCCCATGTAGAAAACTGTAGGTCAAATGGCTTTGTTGGAGAACAATCAGCTAAGGAGTTAAAAATGCCAATATACAAGATTTTCCAGAAAAAAAAAAAAAGAGAATGCCTTTGAGTTAAGCTTATGAGACCAATAAGAAAAAGACCAACTCAGTAGAAAAAAGGACCCAGACTCTTCATGAAAGAGAATATCAATTTGCCAATAAACATAAAAAGAGGGGCGCCTGGGTGGCTCAGATGGTTTAAGTGTCTGCCTTCGGCTTGGGTCATGATCCCAGGGTCCTAGGATGGAGCCCCACGTCCGGCTCCTGGCTCAGCGGGGAGCCTGCTTCTCCTTCTGCTTCTCCCCCTGCTTCTCCCCCTGCTCATGCTCTCTCTCTCTCTCTCTCTGTATCTCTGTGTCTCAAATGAATAAATAAAATCTTAAAAAAACAAAACAAAACAAAAAGAGACAACTTCCTTGTCATTAAGGAAATGCAAATTAATCCAAAATAAGATACTAGTGCAGAACCATCAGAATGGCTAAATTAAAAAGGCTCACAGTACCAGGTTGGTTTGGCTTTTTTAAAGATTTTATTTGTTTGAGAGAGAGAGAGAGAGAGAGAGCCTGACCAGTGGGGAGGGGCAGAGGGAGAGGGATGGATAAGCAGACTTCCCGCTGAGCAGGGATTCCCAGGTGGTCTGGATCCAGGTGGGCTCAATCCCAAGACCCTGGGATCATGACCTGAGCCGAAGGCAGACGCTTAACTGACTGAGCCACCCAGTCACCCTCATAGTACCAGGTTTTGATGAAGATTTGGAACAACTGTAACTCTCATACACTGCTTTCAGGAATGTAAATTGGCACACAGCCACTTTGGAATATTGTTAGGTAGTATTACCTAAAGATGCTCCATCCAATGTAGTAGTTCATAGCCACATTGGTTATTGAACACTTGAAATGTGGGTAATCCAAATTGCTATAAATGTAAAATACATATTGGACTTTGAAGATTTAATACGTATAAAAGAATGTAAAATATCTGATTAATAATGTTGATCTTGATAACATGTTGAAATGATAATATTTTGGATGTCATGGGCTAATAAAATGCATGCTTGGGGCACCTGGGTGGCTCAGTGGGTTAAGTGTCTGACTCTTGATTTTGACTCAGGTCATGATCTCGGGGTCATAGGATCAAGCCCCATGCAGGGCTCTGCACTGAGTTGGGAGTCAGCTTGGGGATTCTCTCCTTCTCCCTCTGCCCCTCCCCACTGCTCACACTCTCTGTCTTTCTCTAAAAATAAATAAATAGATAGATAGATAAATCTTTTTAAAAATGCATGCTTAACATCAATTTCACTTTTTAAAAAACTTTTTTTAATGTGTCTACTAGAAAATTTTAAATTACATATGATGGCGACTTGTACTACATTTCTAGGACAGTTCTGATCCAAAGCTAAGATCCATTAATTTTATTCCTGGGCATATTCCCAACAGAAATATGTATATATGTGCAGTAAAAGTTAAGCACAAGAATGTTTATAGCAGCATTATGCACAATAACTAAAAACTGGAAATAGCCCAAATGTCCTTCAACAGGGGAATGGATAAATAAGTGGTAGTGTGATTACAATATGAAATACTATTTAGCAACAAAAATCAGTAAACTACAGCTATATGCAACAAATGGATAACTCTCACAGCATTAAGCATTTAAATCATCTCATATGATTCCACTTATATAAAGTTTAAAAATGGGAAAATAAGCTACAATATTAGAAGTCAGAATAGTAGTTTGGGGAGAATAACGGCTGTAGTGACTAGGGAGGAGGCTTTGGGAAACTGGCAATGTTCGATGACTTGGTAGCGTGGTGTTACACTGGTTTTTGCTTTTGATAATTCATTGGGCTGTACATTTGTGTACATTTGTATGTGTAGTAATCTGTATGTATGTTAGTAAGGCTTACATCAATTTGTTGCCAATGATTTTTAATAATGCAAGGCCTCCTTGAAAATTAAGCTCCACATGACTGATCCATTTATGTAAATTGCAGAAAAGCAAATTAAGAATTGTTTTTTTAAGACCATATTCTGCCCAGTAAGGAAATCTGGATACTTTCTAAATCGTTCTAGGTATGACTCTCCAGTTTAAAATAAAAATATCTCTGCCCTTTGCTTGGTCAGTAAGCTTGGCATGACAGTCCATTTCCTGACAGATATGTCAATAATGTTGACAAAAATAAAATATAGAATCTCAGAATTGCAGAATTTAAAGTGACAATGAAACCTAACATTTTTTTGAGTTGTGATTTCTTTGTAAATCTGATGGAATCTCTGACACTTTCTCTTGAAAATGCATGTATGTATAATAAAGGTATATACATAATATTTTAATTATTATTTAATTATAATTATTCACCCTGGTAGTTTTTCCAGTCCAGGTTATTTGGTAGATAAAGCAGGAAGAGGTCCAGTGACATGGCCGGTTAGTGGAAAAACCAGGACTAATATTGCAGACTTAATTTCCAAACCAATCATTATTCTTTCAAGTGAAGTGGTTGTTTTTCCCTTCTCCTGTGTTCCCATATGTGTACTGTTGTTGTTTTCATGTAATTCTCATATATATGATTGAATTCTCATATAATTCTGTCCTCATCCTATTGCCTATTGAGAGATGCCTTCAGCTAAGAAGATGACTTCCCTTTTAAAATAATATACTATTAATTGTTCTCTATCACTATTATTTGAGTATATGCATGACCTTCCCAACTACACTGTAGGAGCCACGCCTTATCCATCTCTGTTTTCCCCAAACTACCTAAGTGCAAGGAATATATTCATTATAAAACCAACAGTTGTTACATTAAGAGGATGTGCAAATATATGATTGAAACTTCATGGTAGAACTCTATCCCTTAATTACAGGGTTATTACGAGCTCAGCTTCATACTGACCTAAATATGGATTCAGCCTCTGCCATTTGCTAGCTGTATGTTCTGGATATATTGCTTAACCTGAGTCTCACTTGGTAAATCCAAATGGACTTCATACGATCACTGTGGGGATTAAGGAAATCATCTATGTGAAGTATCTTGAGCAGTATCTGATACATAGACTTTGGCTAGCTATGACTGTCATTATGGTTTACTCAACCCTTGAATTAAAGAATCAGTAGGAGAAACCCTGATTTAGATTCTTAGACTCAGACCAATCAAGCAGTCTACCCAATCCAGGAAATATTCACACATTGTTCCAACAGTCTGCTTTGGCTTAACCTATCCCAGTGACAGGGAACTCATTAGAACCAACTGAAGCAGCTCCAATTCTTCCAAAGTTCTTCCTTACTATTAGGTTGAACCGTATGAAATTGCTGTTTCTAGGTCAAAATAATTGAATTATCAACAATTTCTAAAAACAAAAACAAAAACAAACAAACAAAAAAACCAACCAGACCAGAAATTTGCCTTTCTTTTACTGCCTCTCACTTTAGTTCAACACTTCTTCTCTCCTTCTACATGACAATCCTTTGAAGATAATGGAGAATCAATGGGGAACAAGATAGACCTAGCTCCTGCCTTCATTGAGGCTTACATGCTTATCAAGGAGACAACAAAATAAGCAATTGTGTAGAATTTTCAGATTCAAGGAGGTGGAAGAAGAATGTTTTTTTTTTTTTAAAGATTTTATTCATTTATTTATTTGAGAGAGAGAGAGCACATGAGAAGGGGAGGGTCAGAGGGAGAAGCAGACTCCCTGCCGAGCAGGGAGCCCGATGCGGAGCCCGATGCGGGACTCGATGCAGGACTTGATGCGGGACTCGATCCCGGGACTTGATCCTGGGACTCCAGGATCATGACCTGAGCCGAAGGCAGTCGCTTAAGCAACTGAGCCACCCAGGCGCCCCATGGAAGAAGAACGTTTCAAGCAAAGGGCTTAGCTGAGCAAATTCCCACAGTATATATCATACATGAGGTATTGAGAGTATAGAGCCTCACTGCCCAAAGAACTTGCTATGATGATAAAAATATTCTGTATCAGTAGCGTCCAATATGATAGCCACTAGTCACATATGGTTGCTGAGCACTTGAAATGTGGTATCATGTAACTCAGGAAATGCAATTTTAATTTAACTTAATTTTAATTAATTTAAATGTAAATAGCCACATGTGGCTAGTGGCTACCAGGCTGAACAGAGGGCAATAATGCAAGAGGATAAAAGGGCAAGAAATGAGACTGGAGAAGTCAGCAGGGTTCCAGACCCTGAAAAGCCTTGAGGAGCATGTTAATAATTGTGACTTTACCCTGAGAGTAAAGTCTCAGAAGGATTTTAAGTTCCAGAAAATAACATGATCAGATAGGAGTTTGAGAAACATAATTCTGGCCATCTTATGGAGATAGACAGGAGAAGGGTGGAGAAATTGATCTTGTCTTCAGGAGTTTGCTCTATAAGGAGAAAGATGGGAACAAAAGCAAAATGACTCGATGATATCTCAAAGAAACAAAGACATATATAACTGATCACACCCAATCAGACAATACTCATATATGTATTTATATACATTGTCCACCAATGATCCACATTTCTTGCCTTTTTCTAGCTGCTCACAGGACATCTAGCCTCCTGAGTATTTCAGTGTGTCCCCAGTGGTACCTGAGCTCACAGGGAAGTCTATCAACAAAATATCCATGCAGCATCAACCTTGTTCTTCCTCCTCTGTGCACATATCCCTTTGTTCTTCTCTGGTCCTTGCCACTGAGGGTATTTTGAAGGTACTGCTCTGTTCTCTGCAGAAGGAGGAAAGTCCCCACCTCAGCAACCTAAGTCACCCTGCTTGGCTCACCCTCCTCTTGATCCTCAAAGCATTTTCTTTGACCAGTTCTTTTGGAGGGGCACCTTGGTGGCTCAGTCAGTTGAGCATCTGATTCTTGATTTTGGCTCAGGTCGTGATCTCAGATCTTGAGATCAAGCCCTACTCTGGGCTCTGCACTCAACGGGGAGTCTGCTTGAGATTCCTTCCCTTTGCCCCTCCCCCTGCTTTCTCTCTATCCCTAAAATAAATAAATCTTTTTAAAAAAGCCATCTCTTTTGGGCTTTTATCCCCCTCTAACTTCTCTAAGCTCTACCTATGGGGTAAGACAAAACACGATTAGAGAGTTAGTAAGTCCCTAGGAGTTGCGGTGATAAGCTACCATTGGGTCCCCCTTAAAGAATTTTGTCTCCCCCACTCTAGGAACCAATATATAAGTGTGCATGCATATCACAACTCCTCACCAGCTCCATGACACACACCACATAAAAACACACACACCTTATGTGTGTAGCACATAGACCTTTCCGATTCCTAGCACTTCAGCTGACATATCCATACAAGGCTGAATTCTCTTCAGGACCAGCCAGCACCATCCCTATTCCATTTTGTTCCTGCAAAAGAAATGGACAGATAAGTCCATAAGCAATCACAGCCCAATGGTCACATATAATGTATCTGGAGCTAGAGTAATAGCATGTCATAATGTGGAGAGCATGGACTTGAGTTTGGCGCCAGACTGACCTGGATTCAAATCTCAGTCTGATCACTTTTACTCACTGGATGGTCTTGGGCACATCACTGAACCTCTGTGAGCTTCAGTTTTCAATTCTACAAAATGCTTACTTTTGCAAGTTGTTAAAATTAGAAATAGCCTGCGTACAGTGCCTAGTACCTGGAAGGTGCTCAATGCATGGAAATTGGTATTACTCCATTGGTGCCAAAGCGCTGAAAGCTCAGGATGCCACCGGCCTTGCAGAGGGGACACAGAAGAAAGGTCAGAATGCTAGCACAACCTCATGCAAAAGCATCTTGGGATTTTTATTAGATTACAGCCTAGAGCTCGCCTGGTGAGGAAACTGAAGCCAGGGGCAGGAAGCAGGGTCACACAGAAAATTGGTGACAGAGCCAGGACAAAATTCCAGGTAGGTCTGCAAAGGTTCAGCCCAATGCTCCTTCCTGTAAAGCCACGGCCTCTCGGCTGCCCAGGCTCTGCTCTGACCCGTCCCCACCGCACTCTGATGGGACAATTTACTCCTCCTTGGCACCTAGGGTGTCCCCTCCGGACGGCCAAGCGGAAGAGCTGATGCAGTGCGTTAGCAGCGAGGACCAGGCCTGCGCAGGCCTCCCCGTTGCCACGGCAACCCGAGTTGGTGGAGGAGGATCTGCTCCCGCGGCGCCCCCTCCCATTCACGCAGCGGACGTGACACGTGCGGCAGGGTCACGTGTTGTTGTTGGGCCGTGAAAGCTGCTTCCGGGTCAATGCGGGACACTGGGCTCCGGCGGCCAGAGTGGGGGACGAGGTGAAGCGGAGCCGGGCCGGGGCCGGCCGGGACCAGGCCCGACGCTGAGCGGCGGCGACGGCAGTGGCCGGGAGGGGGGAGGAGAGGCGCAGCCCGAGGAGCCGCCGCAGCAGCTCCCCCGCCTCCCGGGCTGAGGGGTGAGTGGAGCCCGGGCCCGCCGGCTCCGCCGGCTTCTCGAGGCCCCAAGCGCTCCCCTCCGGAGCCGAGGCGCGGAGGGCCGTTCCTGCTGGGGCGCAATGTGGGGAAACGCGGGGAAGAACCCGGAGCGGGACGAGGCCTACCTGGGAGGAAGGGAGGGATGGGCCACCTGCCCGCGGCTGGAGGGAGAATGGGGCCTGGCCTGGCTGGGGAGGCGCAGGGAGGGCCCTGGGCTGGGAGGAGGCGGAGGGCCTGGCGGGTGGGGGGGGACGGGAGGAGGCAGGAGCCTGAGTCCCTGGGAGAATCCCGGCTTCTCACCTTACCAGGGCGTGGGGAATGGAAAGATGCCCCCTGGGTGGTAGGAGATGGAGACGAGTGCTGGGGAAATAGGAAACTTTGTCTCTGAACTACTGTATCCAAAGGGGCGGGGGGGGGGGGGGGGGAGTAGAGGACATGTCCCCAGGGAGGTTTGGTGGGGAAGGGAGCTGGCGGGCATTTCCAGGCTCTTGGGACACTAGGCCTGCTCCTTCCAGGCGGCTGATGAAAGGATGCGTTAGTTTAAGACGGGCTTTTGGGAGAATCGTTTTGCCCTCAAGTTGGGAGACGCTGAGAGTGAGGGGATTGGAGTAAGATGGGGCCTGGAAGGAGTACCCTTTCCTGGGATCTGGGAAGGGGGCAGTGTAAGGGTCCTGTGTGGAGCTTCATTCTTTGTTGAGAACGGGGAGTACAGAGTTCTAGATCCTCTCCCGGGAAGACATCTGGGAATTGATGAAGCGAGATTTCATACTGTCTTCTCTTGAAACAGTGATTTTAGAAGTTGTAGTTAAGGAAAGTTGGTTGGAAGAGTTCAACTGTTAACAGCCAGTTGAGGAAGGAGGAGCTCTAGTCTGAAGGTTGCTCAGTTAAGGAGAGCTTGTAGGCACCGCCTAGGGCTGTTGTTTGGGGAAGTTAGCAACCCTTTTAGGTCCAGACACAGGCTTAGCTGGGGCTGTCCCTGTTCTTTTTACGCTGCCCTGGAGCTCTTAAATTGGTTTCCAAGAGGCCATCTTGAGCAAAGAGATTAGGTGTAGGTGCTGAGGACTAATGAAAACACTCAGCCTTTGGGTACTGAGGCATTAGAACTAGATCTCTAGGGTAAGAGCTTTCAGACTTTTTTTTTTTTTTTTAATCATGCCCCATGTTAAGAAGTACTTTTTACATTATCTTCTAGTACATACCTATATATGAATGAAAAGTTTCACAGAGCACTGTTTACCCTTATTACATGTGATGCATTCTGATAATTTCTATTATGTTCCGTTCTCTTTCATTAAAAATGCTGACTGAAATCCACTAAATTGATTTGTGGGTCACAGGTTGCACTTTGAAAAACACTGTCTCCTAGGCACATTTCTTTGGCTTCAGTTAGTGTTCTCATGTTGTATGCTCCTAAAGAGCCAGGATGATTATAAGGAGATGGGTTTGCGTGGGGGTGCAACTGACTGCTTTATTTGTTTACATATTTATGACGTAGCATATTTGGCATTTTGGAACGTAATCTTAATCTTTGATATCTTAATCTGGCCTGATTATTTTATGAAATTTTTGAAGTGTATGCTTTAATTTTCTCTATCCTTTGCCATGTGAAAGAAAACGAGAGGCCTAATTCCATTTAGTTGACTTATCCCTACAATATACTTAAGGTAATTTTAATATTATAGTGTTGTAAATATACACTGATTTGCTTTTCTGCTATTTAAAAACTCTCAAGCTGAAACCTAAACTCTTCTTATTCCAATAATATATAGTTTAATAATTCTACGTAATTAAAGATAAAGGTTCATGGCTTTAGTATATATTTTAAACTTAATCATAAACCTAAGTGTAACTTTGAGTCAGTTAACATCTAATTTCCCCCCCCCGTGATGTTTTCATCTGTTTATAAAATAGATTAGGTCTTTATATGAACAGTATTATAATGAACATTAATAAGTATTGGTGAACAAAGTGAGAGACCTTCATGAATTTGCTATGTTTAAAAGTCTTTTTAAAGATTGTCATCCAGCCTATTGTTACATGATGTTGAGTGTCAAGTAATGTTGCCTGATTTCAGTAGGTAAATTTATAGGGTATGTATTTAAGACCAGTTTATTGGTGTTAATTCTTGTTGAGGATGCCTTCATATTATTTGGGACATGGAATTCCAAGTCATAGCCATCAGGAAAGAATTACCCAAATTAAACTTCATCCTTGGGGCCATATTCTTGATGAGATGCCTTATGAAAGCATTTTTAATCATCTTCAAACTTTGTGTGTTGTAAATTACATATTAATTGACTATATCTTGGGTACTGGTAAGAGGATCTATGTTGGCATGTATCAGCCATCCTTTAAAAATTATCTTTTTATCAGGTGAATATTTGTTTTGAAATCTTTAGCTTTAAAGAATGTTTAAAAGCTTTCTTTTTGTGGTAGTTGCTTGGAACATGAAGGAAGAATCTCATTAATTTCGTTTTTCTGGGAATCATGTGTACCTGTCAATAAACAGTTGTGGAGAACTTACCCTGAGTGATTGTGTGTGCTTTTTTATAGTTTTCATTTTTTCTCTTGAACCTCAGACTCTTAGGTATGTCCACCTATAGCAGGCTCTTTTCTCCAAATTTTTGCTTCCAAACTGCTGTGGGTTTGGAAATTAGATGCTTATATTTGTTAGAACTTTGTGTAAAATAAGATTATGCAGCTCTGAATAATGTTCTTTCTATTGTATATGTATATATGTTTATTATATATACACAAATACTCTTTTTAGTGTATGAACTATGTGATATGTATTTTGGCTGGTCAGAGGCCTATTTACTGACCTCTTAATTGTGGGCTGTGTTTTAAGTGAACTCTTTATATACTTAGTCTAATTAGCTATATAAGAAAAAGTTCTAAAAAGTAACATGAAACTGACAGTGATACAATTTGGACTTTCAGAGTGAAGCAGTCAGCTGTGATTGTTGCCTTTGCCCTACCTGCCTGAGTCATTAAGCGTTGCCGTTCCCTTCCTTTCCAGTTGTTTTCGTTACCCTCTCCTGACTTTCATTTTTTTGAGATTAGAGTGCTAACAGCCTCACTATTGCCATTGTCTGTTATTCTCGTTCTACTTGATCTTGCATAGCTTCATCAGAGTACTCTTCCAAAGAACAACACCCGAATTTATCATTTCTCTCCTCAAAAACCATTAACTTCCTAGTGCCAGCACTGAATAAAGCCCATACTGTTTAGGTTGACACTGATGGTATTCTAGAGCCTCTATTTTTTTTCCTGACATTGTTTTTCCATCCTAACTGCAGATCCTCTGTTCCTGCCAAGCTGTCTGCTCATTGTACTTTCTTTTGTAACATTATTCCTGAAAGTCTGGGAAATGTGTTCTTCATGAATTCCTACTCATCATTTTATTACAGATGACCCTTCTTCCTTAAAGTCTTTCTTGCCTGTACTATCTACACTACTTTTCCTACATTGCTTTGTATTATTTGTATATGTTGTTTGTACCCCTGTTAGATTGAAAATTCATAGAGGACAGGAGGCTCAAATAACCTCTAATCTTTAGGACACCTAGCACAGGGTTTATCAGAGTTCATGGACCAAGTGAATCAGAATTGACTGAATTTGTGGTGAAAATTGCAGGTCTCTGAAAATTCCACCCTCAACTTAGTAAATCAGAATCTTGGGATTTGCCTAGGTGGATCTTCTGTACAGTAAAATTTGAGAATTACTTACCTAGCATTATGCTTTACATTGCAGTAGGTACACACAGTTTTTGAGCTGTCCCATTTGTCTGGACTTCTTTCTCAGCATTCATAATAATAATAATGACAATTTGTTGACTACTTACTGCATGTCAGATACAACTAGATGCTTTAAAAACGTCATTTAATCTTCACAGTGACTAATGACTACGAAATAGCTATTAATAGTTCCATTTTACAAATGAGAAGGCAGGCATAAAGAGGTAAGTAACTTGTTCAAATTCCAGTGCAGATCTGTGATTGAACTTAGGCCTAACTGAAGCCCCGTGCTCTTACTCACAGTGCTCTTCTAAAAACAGATTTGAACAAGATGACACATTTCCAAAACTCCAGACTGTGGCTTTGTGAAACTTTTGCTAATAATTCATTAATGGCCCTTAGGAATGTGATCTATTACTGGCACTGTTAAGAAAAGGATAATTTAAAAGTTCTGAGATTAGTGCTCTTCCGGTGATTTTCTTAATTTCTCTTTCGATTTTGTCATACTCATCACCAGTGTACTTGATTTTCATTTCACTGCCAGAAGGTGTTACATCAAAGTAAAATTCACTCTTTAATTCATTCGGCAAATATTTGTTGCCCTGTGCCAGATATTCCTGCATGTCACACTGAGCTGGACCGACAAATCTTTACCTTTGTGGGACTTAGGTTCTGGTGGAAAGGGACTGAAGCCCTAAATTAACATATACTGGAAAGTTCCATAAAGAATGAGAGAGGCTGGAGTGATTGATGGTAGCAGTGGGGCTATTTTTGATGGGTTGGTCAGAGGCAGCCTTGTCGAGAAGGTAACATTTGTGTTTAAAATTGAGGCTTGGATGCTGAGATGAAGCCAGCAAAACCAAGAGCCAGGTAAAAGGCATTCCTGTGAGAATGTCTTAGAGGGAATCAGCCTGGCAAGTTTTGAAAAGTAGGAAACCATGCTGGCTGAAACCTAGTGGGTGGGAGGAGGTGAGGTCAGAGAGGTGAGCAGAGAACAGATTGGAGGGAGCCCTGAAGACCCCGATAGAGATTGGGCTTCACTCTAAGTGTGAAGGGAACAAAGCCTTTGGAGAACTGAAAGGACATGATTTGACTTAGTATTTTGAAAAGATCACTTGGCTTCGTTGTGGAGGATGCGTTGTATAGTCGTGAGAGACCAGGAAGGGAGCTATCGCAGCAGTCCCAGTGAGAGGATGAAGGCTTCAACCAGAGTAAAGTAATGGGGATGGAAAGAGTTGGGTTTGAGAGATACTGCTGATAAACCTTGCTGATTAATTATTGCATGAGGGTGTGAGAGGAAGAGAGAAACCAAATACAGCTCCAAAGGTGGGGACTGGTGGAGGAAGAACAGGCTTGAAGAGGGGAATAAGAGTTCTGTTTTTGCCCTCTGTGTGCCTCTGCCTGATAATACAGCCCTGCCCTCCAAGGATACCACAACCCTGAATTTTGGGTTTGTTACTCTCTGACTTTTCTTCATAGTTTGTATTACATATGTATGAGACCCTAAACAATACGATGATTAATATTCTGTTTTTGCATTTT